GTGGCTAGCTTATACCTGCTGGTTATACCGTTCAGTTCTCTGAATTCTTAGAGAAAATTCTTTTCAAGACCCAAAATTAGGAAAGCGAGTTAGAAGACAAAAATAAGATGAATGGTAATGATACCTCATCCTGGAAGGGGCAACTGTGTGGCATAATTCAGTTGCAGAAACTAAGACAAAGTGGGGTTAGAAGCAGCTCTCCTCTCAGGTGACAGCCTGCAGGGGCACAGGTGAGGGCCTGGTTTCAGCACAGTAGAGGTGAAGTTACTTTGGCAGCTGCTGAGACACCACCAACTCTTGGATAAATAAAAGACATCAGCGTATAATCTTGCCAATCACTTAATCTTTATAAGCACAAATATTTATTAGAAAGTCCATGAAAGTGGATTTGGAGATGATTAATAAACAAAATAATAATCTTATTACTTCATGTGAAGTGAGAACTGGAACCTTTTAAGAACATGCTTGTTGCTTCCCAACAAGAACATTGGTAATTTGCAGGACAGAAATTTGGAAGCTCATATTTGTGTTGTTAAATATTCTGTTGGATATGAGAGTGGCTGTTGGTCAGGCATGTATTGTATCTGATTTGGAACAGTTCACCAGACAGTTAGTCTTGGTGAATACGATAAGTCGTGGTGCTCACCTGAAGCCACCAGAGAAAGTCATGAGCACACATTATGAACTGCTGCTGAAACCAAAGGGAACACCGACTTTACATGACCTGGTCTGGGTGGCAAAAATAAAAGTGGCATTAAAGCTCCTACTTACATATTAAAAATAAATCATTATTTTACCTTAAGGATTCTCTGTTGTGCATGGGATAAAGTTCAGACTCCTGAGCTTGAGCTTTACATGCAGATCCCTGACAATTTTCAACGTCTTCCTCGGCAGTTTCTCCTGCCCTTCTGTGCACCAGGTCTTCTTGGAACTGGGCCTGTGCACATTGTGCTCTCTCCCTGGAAGTCTTCCTTCCTCTTCTTTACCTGCCTGACTCGAGGTGAGAGCAGAGAAGCCTTCTCCACCCACCTTGCCCACCCCCAATCACTGGCTCAGGTGCCCCGTCTGTGAGTGCCAGCAGGGCCCTGTACCTGCCTCCATCATGGGATTTATCACCCTGTTCTTGTTTGGACTTCCACGCATTTGTCTGCCCCACCTAAACTAAAACTCCTCGAAGACAGGGAGCTGGATCCTGGATCCTCTTCACTGCATATCCTTCCTGCGATAGTGCCTAGCATGTAATAGAGCTCTATACATATTTGTTGAATGAATAAATGAATGTTTTAAGGACCTACTATATGAAATCTAAATATAAGTCTGAACTTTGGGACTTTGAATCCTGTGCTGCAACATCATCTATGGCTTTTATTTACAGTGTTTACAAACATTGGGCTCTCCTGACTCGTGGTCCAAACTCAACATCAGCAAAGCAGTACTCTCTCTCTTAGTCTGCTCAGGCTGCCGTAAAATACTACACACTGAGTAGCTTAACAGAAATTTCTTTCTCACAGTTCTGGAGGCTGGGAAGTCCAAGATCAAGGTGCCAGCTGATTTGGTTTCTGGCAAGGGCCCTCTTCCTGGCTTGCAGATGGCTACCTGATTGCTGTGTCCCTGTGTGGCAAAGAAGAAAGGGGAGAGGAGGAGGGATGGAGGGACAGACTGCGCCAGCTCTCTGTGTCTCTTCTTATAAGGACACTACTCCTACTGGATTAGGGCCCTACC